CTCTGCACAAAGGAATTGTTGGAGTCTTTGCTCTCCAATCCAGTGAGGCCCTGCTCCTCCAGGGATGCGGCTGCCTACACTGGCTCGTTTTCACTCGATTCTCTTTCATCCTTCACACCATGAGCTGCAGAAGCCATTTATAGTGTAGTGCCTTGCAAGTAATGGTCGCTCCTCCACAGCAACACTTTGCATTATTAGCAGAACAGGAAATAAACTTCTGAGTTTCCCATTTATTCCAGTTTATTTTGTTCTGCCAGATTTGAAATCCTATAGTTCTACTTCTGTCTTCCTTGATCTGCCTCCTTTTCTGTCCTGAAATACTTGTGCAGATTCCGTCTCCCCCTCTACAAAGATGAAAATGCTTAAGAACATAGTTCAGGGCCTGCAGAAGAGATAATTAAAAAATGCAGAACAGTCTCCAACCCTTGCTCAAGCAAGAAATCTATTTTTTTCTAGAGAATATTTGTGAATTTAGGTCAAAGCTAAAACCCACTTCACCATAGGAAAAAACTAGTGTCGGTAGTAAGATTGCAAAGGTCATTGTTATGTTGTTATTGTGGGGGTTTGGTTTTGTTTTGAGACAGATGCTTATCTCCTTACGCTGGATTCTAGCAGTGTCCTTGTCGCCTCCATTAGGGCTGACCTATAAATCCCAGCAATCACTTGCAAGGTTGCTCAACATTTGCATTTCAATGTGATTTCTTCATTTCCACTTCCTTTTTGTGTGTGTGCGTGTTGCCTGAACAGAACATTTGCACATTTCAGATCTGCTCTAGGCTCCCCTCGCCTGTGTGTCGCAACAGCGGTGCGCTGGCTGGAAGAACTCTGAAAGCTGCCGTGCCTGCCTGCTGCAGAGAAGTCTGGAGAGTTGAGGCATCCGCAAAGCTTGGCTACACCTCCCTTCTGCCAAGTTTAGACTTTGGGGGATGTATTGGGTTTGTGTGGCAAGGTTTTGGTAGCAGGAGGGGAACATGGGGTGGCATTGGCTGTGTCGGACCGGACATGGGGGAAGCTTCTGGCAGCTTCTCACAGAAGCCACCCCATGTCCCCCCCCTGCTACCAAAACCTGTCCACACAAACCCAATACAGGGGATTCTCTAGAAAAAGCAGCATACTGATGCTTAAAAGAACACTTTGGTTTATGGCTTAATTTCTCTTTTCAATCTAAATATCAAAAGCAATAGCTCAGGCTTCAATTCTGTCTCAGCCCTCTCGCATTTTCTCAGAAACATCAGCACATTGTGAGAGCAGCTGCCTGGCTTCTAGGTACTCCCTAATCCAGACACTGGACAATACATGACTGAGCTCTGAAGCAGACCCAATCAAATACATCTCACTCTTTTTTCCAGAGGCCAAGCTCCCCAAGGAAAAACTGTCTTTGGTGGCCAGATCACTACTCCCTGCAGCAGCCACATGCTCAATCCTACAGACAGCACCGTATCAAGCTTTTCTCAGCCTGGCTGGAAGTTGCTTGCTGCTGAATATTGTACAATGACTCTCCTGTCACTTCAAGTGGACAGGATCCCAATGCAGGCTGCATTTTCCTTGCATCCCTCTCCCTCCCTCGACCTCGCAGGTGTGCCTCAAAAGAACAGTGATAACTTCCCTTTGGAAACCAAAAATGTGGGCTTTCTACTGTCTTCCTTCACAGAGCTTCATGTGACAGTTTCATTGCTTTTCTGGTAGCACTGTAAACAAAACAGACAATTTCTGCCATATCACATAAATCTTCTTATATTCTTGGGAAGATTAAATTTAAAGAGAATGATCAATAGCAGGTCTAATGGTATTGACAGCACTTTCATTCTAATTAATTTAATTCCAAATATGAAAAGTCTATTCCTGGCTCAGGGATCAGTATTGTAACTGCCTATTTTATCAGCAGTTCAGGATCAGGAAGTATTACAGAATCACAGAATGTCAGGGAATGGAAGGGATATTGAAAGATCATCTAGTCCAATCCCCCTGCCAGAGCAGTAATGTGTTGCTTACCTAGCTTGAACTAAAGCACAGTGGCTTTAGAGTGGTTCAAAAAGTAGCTTGTGCTGCACAAAGCAACTGGTATTTAAGAAACAGCACACACTGGAGTGCTCAAAAACACCTGCAGTACCAGCTGGGGCCTGCAGCCATGAGAATGAACAAACGTGGTACTAAATGAGAAGTGGGAACTCAAATGTGCCCTTCAAACAGATGGCAGAAAATAGCAATGCACTAAGATGAGATTTAAAAAGCAAAATTAAGAGCCTACAGCAGCAGCAAGCAGCTGGAACAGAGCTGACAGGATGACCACCTCAACGACAGGTCCTGCATTTAAACAAACTCTATACTGCCAACTTCAGACTGATTACAATAGAGCTACCTAGGCATACCTGGCATGCAGATGTTTAGGACTTACAATTAATTATACAGTCACTTTAAACAACTAGCTCCTGTAAAACTCTGCACCTGTTATCTCAAGTAAACTACTAGTCTGATTAAGCCTCTGAATGAAGTAAACTAGGAACGCATTCATTCAATATAGACCAGTAAGAAGATGAAGTAAATCCTCACCAAAAAGTCTACAGTGTGACTGATTTTCAGGCAGTCAACACTTCACTTTGTTTAAGAAGAGCCCACAGCCCAGCCAGCCTAATCTTGCAAAAGCATCGGGAGTCCTGGTACTACCAAGTAGATGTGCAAAATGTTTTATCACTTTTCTTTTTTTTCCTCCTTAAAAGGCCTTGCTGAAACACTCTCTACAAACCTGCCATGTGAGTTACTTATTGCTGATAAAACCAGGTGAGAGAGATCCAACTTTCTGAACTACAATGCTTGGTCTATCAGAATCACTTTCAGCCCAGAGACAGCCTTCTTCCATATGAGAGAACCTCTCTGAGAGGTTCTTCAGAAAAAATCTGTCACAAGAATGCTTCCCATCTACTTTAAATGACTTAGGGCAGCTTTACTTTTGTGGCAGAGCCGAGCTCGTCATTTCTAGGAGTAGACAGGATCGCCTTGGCACATTTTGCGATCGCTGCAAGTTGCAGCAAAGATGTTGCAACTGACCAGAAAGTTCATGCAACAAGTCTCTAGAAACAGAGCTTAAGGGATAAAGGAATTTATATAAAAAGACTAAACAACTGTAAATCGGTAATTAGAAATTTCAGAGTGATTTAAGATATCAGGGAACACACTCTGGCATTGTTTTTTGAAGAGTATTTTAACATTTTAAACAAGCCCCATAAAGGGGCTTAGTAAATTTCAGCTGCTTTATGACCAAGACAGCTGAAAACAATGCAACCTTCAAAATGTTGCCAGAGCATTTACCTCTGCCTTTACCTTTGTGTTTGTTAACCTTTCAGTGCAAACTGGAACTGGTCCCTGCAATCAGACAGTGACCTGTACTACCCCCTTTCTCACCCTAGATCATGTTCCCCGCCGAAGTTCAGGGGCATTGTGTTCCATATTAAGTGATGTCAAAACTGTCAAAGAAATCTGAAACAACATATAGACTATGACATAGTAGTTTACTTAAAAACTTAGGATTCATGCCTAGCAAAGAGGATGATAGAGCTGTATTTTAATTATTTTCATAATAAAGTTGTACAGCTCCATCAGATGGATTTGATTCTCATCAAAACACTGCAAGTGTGTTACAGAACATTCAATAATTTAACTACACGTTCTTGTCAGAGAAACTGGTAGTGCAACTCTTCCTGTCTACCTACTGATCTTAATCACCCACATTAACTTTAAGTGCCATTAAAAGTAATTCCAAGTGATTGTAACACACACTAAACTGGATTTCCTGGACTCAGGCAAAGCTGCAGCATGCTACGCAATAAGTCCAGGATCTCCAAGACATGAACAACTTCAAGCCCTCCAAATCTGACATTCCCAATAAAGGAGAGAAATTAATTCCATGAGCAGATCTTTTCTGGCAGTGGAGCAAATCTCTCCTAACAACAGGGAAAGTTAAGCACATTAGAGGATGACAAGATGAAAAGTAGTTTGCATTTGGGTTGCTGTAGTTTGGAAGAATTCCTTTTACCACAAGAGCAAATGAATTTCTAAGAAGTAGGTAGTTCTAAAAAAGACTCAAGCCAGAGATTAACCACTTGTTTCAACTATTTGATTTAGGAAAATTAATCCATACAAGGTGATCTTCCAATGTTTGCTTTCGAAAGACAGTTTAAACTGATAGACATAGGCCCCTGCAGCCACATCCAGGAGGCTGCTGGCACCTCCTCTGTTCCGCTGAGCTAATACTAAATAGAAGTAGCCACAGCCATGAAGCCACAAAGAATAAACGCATTCAAGAACAACTGTTCTTTGTTTTATTGAATGGCTGAAACAGGACTATAATCCAGGTATCTTTAAATCAAGCGTTGGTCCACTCTAATCATCAAAAAGAACTGATTTAGTTTTTTTGTAATAACATCAACACAAATGAAAGGAATATGAAGCATCATAATAGGAACTTCCAACTGTACATGACGATAGACCACGATCAGGCTGGTGCTACTTCAATATTTATAGACTCTCCACTGTATAGACCAGCCACACTAGTGTTATTTACTTCCACATCATTAAAGTTCTTGGTAAAGGATCCTTCTGTCTACAGCCTACATCCCAGCCATCAACATGAGATCAAAATGCCATTTGTGCCACTAGAATCATAGTCTTGTAGAAATATTTCTGTATTTAATATTTTACTAAAGAATAATTACTATCCTCTCTGAAGTTACATATAACCATTATAAATATTTACATCAAACATTTACAACGGGTTCATAATATACAACACAACAGTTTAGCTATAATTTCTAATCTTCCAGTGTAAAAGTTTCAAACAACATGTTGCTATCATAATTTCAATTTATCTGTTTTGCACACAGCCACAGGTAGTACAGGGCATTTCAAAAAACTCATGTTGCATGATAAAAAAAAATGGAATGATTTACTTTGATAACAATTAGTTTGGGGATCATTGGGATTTGGGGGGTTTTTTTGTTTTTTAAACAAGCAGATTTCAGTTTCTAAATACCATCTGGTGCTACTACTAACATTTAAAATAGGCTTGAGAAGGAAAAAAGAAACAACTTGGAAATAAATACACCTTTTAAAAAATTCCACAATTAATCATGTCAGAATATTAGTTTTCCACAGTTTAAAGGCGACCTTACTCTTCATCATTTCCTTGCGCTGAAATACAACGTAGTTCAATCCATTCTTATCTTCTGATTTGTCATCCTATAAATAATGCTGTCATACCCAGGATCCATGTTCCAGAGGTTGTAGGAGATAACTATCACAGCTAAAGCAAGACCTATCATCATCCACAGAATAATGTTGAAGATAACAGAGTAGTTGTAGTTGTAGGGATAGGCAAGGTTATATGGATTTTCTGTTTCGCTCTGGAATCAACAAAAAAGTGTGTTACTTTCAAGTCAGCCTGCACACAAAACACGTTTTGACAACACTGAAAGTCTGAGCAATCTGAATAGGAGAGCTGCACTTTTGCCTAGACAATTCTGGTGCTAAGGGCACAAAATGCAAGAGTGTTTATGCGACTGACATCAGTGGAATTCAAAGAAAGGGCTGACAGAAGCCTCACTGAATTCACCGAGGACGAATGCAAAGCCCTGCACCTGGGACAGAATAAACCCAGGTGACGACACAGGCTGGGGACCGACTGGCTGGGCAGCAGCTCTGGAAAGAGGGACCTTGAGGTCCTGGTGGACAAGGTGAACAGGCATCAACAGAGTGCCCCTGCAGTGATGAAGGGCAACTGCATCCTGGGCTGCATCTGGAGTGCAGGCAGCAAGTCAAGGAAAACCATTTTTTCCTGCCTGTGAGGTAAGGACTTGTGTGAGCTCCTGTACTGGGGAGAAAATGGCAGAAATGCAAATTCTAACATGACATAAGAGAAGAAGTTTTCACAGTGAGAAGTGGTTAAGACTTTGGAACAAGCTGTCCAGTGAGGCTCTGGGACTTCCAGCCATGGACTTTTCAAGAACGTGGCTGGACAAGGACCTGAGCAGCCTGATCTAACTCCTAAATTAATCCTGCTTTGAGCAGTAGGTTGGACCAGATGACTTCCAGAGGCCCTCTTCAACTTAAATTACTATATGATTAAGTGAAGAACAAGACAGGTAAGCTGAACAATTCATACCCATGCCAAAATCATAGTCAGTATTCCAGTACTTAAAAAAAAAAAAAAAAAAAAACAAACACATAAAAAACCAAAACCCCCCAAAAAACTCCCCGCTGAAGTGACGAAGTGATGCAGTTTGTATCACTTTTAATAAATAATACATAGAAAAACATGCATCTACTACCTGTGAAGTCTGGAGAATGGAGCGAGTCTTCCTCATGAGGGGAGAATTAAATGTCTTTACAGCCACCACTTCTACTACTGCATTCCCACTATACAGATTAAACATCTCATCTGCAAACTGGAAAAGTAAAAGTGAGTGATTTAATTTAAAACCTATACTGTAGCCAGTAATTCAGGAGAGTTTTGTTAGCAAGCTGGACCAAACTGTAAAATGTCAGCTTCAGGAATAAGAAGGTTATGGAAAGCTGTAAAAATTTACACTATTTTAAAATTCCACTAAGAAAGTACCAGCTTTCACCTGGTTTACAACATCTCTTTAAAACCCCTCAACCACTGTTCAGCAGTAGCTTATGACTGCTTTCTGTACTGAAACTTGTTCTTTCATCCCTTTCACAAACAACCCACCACCATAGAGTTTCCCAATTGTATGTCTGCCTGTTTCAACAAAATATTTAGGTTCTCAACCTTCCACTGGGAAATTATGAACCTGAATATTTTAATCTGGTCCAAAGACTAGTATGTCTAGTATTTAAATATATTTACTTAACTGCAAAGAGGCTGAAAACTGGTTTAGAGAAAACAGTTATTTGGCTTAGCAAATTCAGGCTTTTGAAACTCTCAGAAGTGAGTGACTGGTCTTAATAAAGATTCTATCTAATGATTACATAAGACCCGCTAAGAATTACTTTCTTCAGCACATGGATAGATAAAGAGCTGTTATTTCAGAGGCTTGAAAATTTAGATTTCTATAGCTTTGAGGGCAAGTGGAAACTAACCACTGTACCCTGGGGTAAAGATATTTCCACATATCTGAAAGCCAGTTCTTGTGAGACATACTGGTGGCTTTAAATGCAAGAGGTTGGTGTCAGCCTCTTCTCCCAAGTAAAAAGCGATAGGACAAGAGGAAATGGCCTCAACTTGTGCCAGGGGAGGTCTAGATTGGATATTAGGAAAAATTTCTTCACCAAAAGGTTATCAAGCTTTGGAACAGGCTGCCCAGGGAAGTGGCTGAATCACCATCCCTGGAGGTAATTTAAAATACATGTAGATGTGGTGCTTAGGGACATGGTTTAGTGGTGGACTTGGCAGTGCCAGCTTAACAGTTGGACTTGACTATCTTTAAAGTCTTTTCCAAACAAAACGATTCCATGATTCTATATTTAGGAAAAACAAACACATCTAGTCGTGTTCATACGTGGTTTCAATATATTCCTGATCCTTTACACAAAATACCTAACACATTGTAGCACCATTCCAACACTTCCCAGAGTGACAAATTGTAACATTTAATTTTATAATTGAACAACTGCATTTTAAAAACCAAACAACAAAACCAAAATCAGCCAAGCCATCACTAATGAAGTGATTCAAACTCAAAGCAGAAGAGAGTCAATAAACTAACTCGCTTGTAGTTAACACGAAAAGTTATTTCCCTTATTATTATGTGAGTTTTGTTCATTAGATAGAAAGTATACCTTTTGCAAAGAGTCTACAAGAATTTGAGAAGCATCCTTGAACTGCTGAGAGTCTTCCCCATATCGTTTTCCAACCTCTTCCAAACCAGCCAGTTCCAGAGAATACAGGTCTGGAGAGCGATCTTTGGCTAAGTGCTTGTGTCGAGACAGCTGTGGCACACCATGGAGGGCAGAAAGAAATTAATTCATACACAGGTTGTTTTTAAAACATGTTTCACAAAATCAGTTTACTGGGACTAATACAGCCTGTCTTTCCACAGTCATATTCCATATTGATTGGGAAGCAGAATTTCTTGCCAACTGAACTACAAGATGTTCACAATTGTTCAAATTTCTTTTCTTATTCTAGAGAAGAGAGCAGATGATCATCATGCATCATCTATTCCTAACATGAGGTTATATACATGTAATAAGGGGCTCTACTAAAAATAAATATCATACCTATTCACATCAGAATCCTTGTTCTGTAATTGCTGTAAAAATAAAACTTGGAGAAAAAAAACCCCACATAACTACAATAAATACTTGGATACTACTAATTCCTCTGCTGAAGGTGGCCCTTGCAAAACCAGGTAGGTTGCAACTTCTACCTTGCTGTTGCCCACGTACACAATTAGTTTATTTAAGGAGTATCATCATCATAAAATCCAACCAATATAATCCAAATTATCTCAAAGGAGAGTAGTGATATTCTTGCACTTCTGTGGGTGTGAAGCTGCAGCACTGACATTTGCCTGCACAAGAGAACAGTCTCTGAAAGCAAGGAATTTAATTTGTTCCTATCTTCCCATCTACTTTAACTACAGCATTTCTAGTCTGCAAGACAAAACCAACTTGTTCTACCTTATTTTCTCTCCACCAGCCCCTCACCTAATATGAGCTTCCAAGTTTTTCCATGGCTGTTTCTTTCACTTCAAGCAGCTGAGGGTTGCAGCTTAAATGAACCCTCCCCCCCCAAAACACAAAACAAACAAAAACCCACCACCACCAAACTCCCCAAAACAAACCCTAAACCACAGCAACAAAGCAGCAGTTTCTTAGTAAAAGGATCATAAGAAACTTTTTGCTCAAAAAAGATCAGAATTAAAAGCTCATCCATCCATTGGAACATTCCTGTCACCACCACTATTCATGCTACAAAAGTCACTGCAGTCTTTTCAGATAAAACATTACAGTGATATTTTGAAATAAAATGGTTACTGGGCAAAGAACATGTTCTTAACTCCAGTTATACTTCTCAAGTAAGAAAACAAGGAAAGCCCCAGCAAATTCTTCATTGAGTACTTCCTGTGTCTTTAGGTATGGAGAAACAGCAGCTCAGAATCCTGCCTGTTCTCACCAAACACAATACAAACAAAATTACAGATGATTAAGGTTCTCATTTTCTTCTGTCAATGACAGGGCTGATAAAAATAGCTTGAGAATGCATTATTTAAACTGATGCAACCAGCTGATGACACACTTTAATATTTATCAGTGGTTGCCAAGTATCCTGGCTACAGCTTCTCTACCTTTAAATGAAGTTTAAACTCTGAAGTTTGTGACACAAACTGAGGAAAGTATTTTTTAAAAATCTTACCAGGCTTGCAATATCGTGTAGGACTTGTAGTTCTGACAGAAAAAGCAAGTCAACCTGGGGGAAGAGGTAGGAAGAAAGAGACGGGTATTTCCTTTGATGAAACCAAAGTTAGGGAAGTCTCACTTTGTTGCAAGTCTCAGTATTTTATAACAGGTTATGTCTGTTGCAGCATCAGAAGATGCTAGAAGTAACTTTACTGAAAGAGTAATTTCCTTACAAAGGACCTTAAAACTTACTTCTTAGAATTCAGTTAGAAAAAAAATTAGAGTGGGCTCTCTTAGGCAAAGCAAGGGAAAAAAAAGATTAAAAAAAAAAAAAAAGGAAAAGCACATGCTAAGTAAGAATATCAGAAAAAAATGGTAAAAGTTCACACTGATGAAAGTTTTTTACCTCATTGTTTCTGCTAAGGGAGTTGAGAGGAAGGGAGCTGAGAATGGAGTTGTCCTGGAACAAGCGGTTCCGCAGTTGGCGCAGCGTGACAGAAAGGTCTTCAAATACAGAGTTTGCCTTGCCCACCATGTAAACTCTCTGCAGGAACAGACATTGTTTAACAGCAACATAGGTCAGGTTTCAGTTTTTACAGGCACACATTAATAATCAATCACACTTGCAATCCCTCTGCAACACCGAGTATTTCATATAATCAACTGGTTTTGCTCCAGCCGCACAAGTGCAAAGAGGCTGACTATTTAACCACACAAGTGCAAAGAGGTTTATTTAGAACACCTGGAACCTGAACTGAAGCCATACTCACTTCCTCGCTGGGGGCCAGCTGCAAGACCACAGGAGTTTCCTCAGAGAACAAAGCATGAATAGCGTTCGCAACACTGTCGAGAGTGAACGGAACGGCCTGGAAGACAAAGCCTGGTTATGTATTTGGGTAACACAGGGCCTAACAGTATAAAAGGAGATCATTTGCTTAACTACAGAAGTCTGGAAAAATTGGACAACCTCTTTTTGAGCAAACAGTATGAATATTTACAAACTGATAACAACAAATAATAGGCGCCAATGCACAAAACAAAACATCAAGTGTGTATCTACAAACTGACGACTTATTTGTACCTATGGCAGACACAATGTATTTTTAAGAACTCCAAGGGGCCGTGACTGTGTAATTAAGAGGCTTATTTAAGCTAAGAGTATGGCCTTGTTTATCAGTAAAGCAAGACCAACAAATATACAAGCAACACAAATGGAGAAACCAAAAGTTATGAACAACAGAAAACTGATGAACAGAAATGTACCAGCAGAAAGACCAACTGCTGAAACACCAAACAAAAAAGCCATATAAAAAAATTACCAAGAATAAAAGAAATCCTAGCACAGTATAGTGCCATTACTGGCAAGCTAATAAAACTGTTAGTTTTTCTAAACACTTACGTCTGGGTTTCACCTAAAAAGCAGCAGCACAGCTCACTTCCATTCACTAGTTAAAGAGCATACACATATTTTTTCTAAGAGATTTTAGTAAATCTGTAAACTAGAATAATTTGTACCCAGCAGTCCTGAACATGCACTCAGTGATGATCATTTAAAACTACACTTGAATATCAGAGAACCAGTACTCTGCCAGCATACATTTGGGGCAGCTCATCTGAAGCCACGGCAGCAGTTAAGTGAAACAATTAAACCTTAGGAATATTAATTTACATTAATGAGAAATAAAGAAAATACGCATCATGTACACATCAGAACTTTATCAAAGTTACAAGTGCAAATACAATAGAAGTTGTATTTGTAAGGTTTCCACAAATTAGTAATGCCTACACGGTCAGGTGCAGACAATCATAGAATTATAGAATGGTTTGGGTTGGAAGGGACCTTAAAGATCATCCAGTTCCAACCCCTCTGCCATGCCAGGGACACCCCTCACTAGATCAGGCTGCTCAAAGCCTCATCCAACCTGGCCTTAAACACTTCCAGGGAGGGGGCATCCACAACTTCCTTGGGCAACCTGTGCCAGTGTCTGACCACCCTCACAGTGAAGAATTTCTTCCTAATATCTAATCTAAACCTGCCCTCTCTTCAGTTTAAACCCATTTCCCCTTGTTCTATCACTCCCTGCCCTTATGAAAAGTCCCTCCCCAGCTTTCTTGTAGCCCCTTCAGGTACTGGGAGGCCGCTATAAGATCTCCCCAGAGCCTTCTCTTCTCCAGGCTGAACAGCCCCAACTCTTTCAGTCTGTCTCAACTCAGTTTTGGTCCAGGTATCATTCAGCATTGCCAATGTGTAGCTGTGCCTGAAGTAGTGAGCTCTGCTTGAAAGCTGACATGGAAGCAGATCTGTGTTAAGCTCAATTTGACCCGAGTTCAGTGTAAAGCCACGTAACATTTGAATTAAACGCTGACATTTTGAAATAGATTAAAAGACTGCCTGATATCTGTAGAAGTAATTTCATAGGGAAACCACGACCTCATCTTTGGGTGTGCAATAGGGTGTCAATATTAAACAAAACACTATTCAACATTGTCACTAATGATTCTACAGTTTGACTGAATTAATAAACTGATAAATAATAATTCTTGTTAACAGAAGCACAGCAGCAGCACAGAGCCAAAAGGCACGGTAAGCTGGTACAAAACAAAGTTTTCAAAGGTGGGCAGAAGCAGAGTCAACTAACTAGAAATACCCTTTAAAACAGCTTCTTTGAAAAGGGTTTGTGGGCTCATGCTGGACAAACAACAGGTTAACATGAAGAACTAGTCCAATACTGCAGCAAAATGGATTAAAGCAGACAACATACAACAGAGATGTGAGTAGACATTGTATAGCTACCAATATTTTGTAAGTTACTGTGCTCCTGTTCAGATGTGTGTGGTCAAAATCATCTAACAGGAAAAGAGGCAACAGGCATAAATTTAAAACCAGAAAATTCTATCGGAACATGAGAAAAGAGGTTTTCTTTACTAGAAGGGTCATCAAATACTGGCACAAGTTGCCCAGAGAAGTTGTGGAGTCTCCATCTGTGGAGATAACTCAAAACCCAACTTGACACAGTTCTGGACAGCCTGCTTTAGCTGACCCTGCCTGATCTGGGGGCTGGATTAGATAATTTCAAGAGGTCTCTTCCAACCTAAATGACTGTGATGCTGTGACAAGTGCGAGAAGAGTCTCAGGAAAGACAAAACAGTGACAAGTACATGTAATGTTGTTTGTCGTTTTCTTTTTGATAGAGTATAATCAGATGGTGTCTCCAAGTGCTGTATTTTATAGTCAAGTATTTGAGGAAAACTCAAAATGCTTAGATGGCAATAAAGAACATCAAAGAATCAATTTCATATAAAACACTCACACACACACTCAGCTGAAGCAAAAGGTAAAAGTTCTGACTATGAATCAGTAAGTTAACATGGGAAGCAGTGGATTCTCTGCCTCTTGGTACAAGCTTATTAAAACTAGATGCCTTTCAAGGAGAACATGTTACCCAACGTGTCAAAAACGTTACTGAACTCAGCACAGGAGGCCCTGGGTTATCTTAAAGGCCTCTCACTTTGCACAGGAGTCTGACTGGATTATTTATCTATACAGCCTGATCCATCATTCTAAGGGGGTATGTGAACTTCAAGTGAAGTAAGAAATAAGTGAACATCAAGGACTACAGTAGAGTCACGTACTTCTCATTAGATCACGAGAGTCACAGAAACCACGCAACAGTTCCAAACACCGATACTCACGTTCTCAATAGGGTAAGAAACCCCCTTCACAGGCAACGTCAGCTTGTCCACTCCTCTCACTGTTACCAGCACAGTAGCTCGTGGTCTGTGAAACAGATCGCCCACTGCAAGCCCAGGCCAGGAAAGGTCCTGTTACAAAACAGTTAAAAAACTTGTATTTCACAGGGAAGAGGAGAGGAGCCCCCCCCCCCCATTACAGCAAAGTGACCCACTATCTTGTTAATACCTCCGTGCAGGACAGCCTGTTAGAAACTTAGTGGGGAAGTAAGTTAACACTAGAAAGCTTTCATTTTGAATAATGCTGTCTCACATTAACCAAGAAGAAACTGTTTAAACTGTCAGCTGCCAGTAACTTCATAGTAAAGTCTACATTGAGAAAGCATTATGCATATTGGATATATCAAGAGTTACTTCCCATAATCAAATTAGAAAAATCATAGTCTATATTTAATAAGGGAAGGCTGAATTAAAAAAAAAAAAAAACAAACCAAAAGAAAACAAAAAAAAAAAACCCCATGCCCACATACAAAGAACAAAACCAAACTCTGTCACAAAGCAGCACAGAAACAGGTTCAGGCACATTACAACACTAACATCTTGATATTTTCAGTACCAGAAAGAAACAGGGTGATGGAAAAAGGGAGAGTGGTGTCAATCATATCAACAGCCTACTAATCTAAAATTTACAAATCTGCATAGAAACATAAAAAGATTCCTTAGTAGCTTATTACAGTTATGTATCATTACAGAGCACAATGAAGGCTACCTGGTTGATTTACTCAGGCACAAAATACAAATTCGTCTATTTGGAATGAATTCAAACAGCTTTCTCTATTTGTGTAAAAGACATAACTGCTTGTTTAAGTTTGATGAGACCAATTAATTTAGATTTTAGAATTAAATGTCATTGGCATTAAGGTCTGTATCACCTTAAAGAAACAAAAGAAAATCCTTTTAAAGCATTATCAGAGACAAAAAGGTAGTTCAGTTTTATTTTGCATTAACAGGGGAGGAATACTGAATGACTGTTTTTGAGAATCCCTGATAACGCTGTAAGAATTCCAAATTCTCTACAGTGCACCCACTGCACTGTCAGTTTATGTTCCCAGACTATGGCCTTGATGTAAACTGCAAAATAAGTGTTTGGGCCCAGCAGTATTCTCCATACCAGGGCTGGAAGCTGCCTAGATGGTGATATCTGCCTTAGTGACAATGCTGGTAACTTTTAGTTTCAGGGCTTAACTGAATAGAGAAATTAAACATTTCCTTCCCTGCCTGCTGCTAGGATTTGAAATGATACTAACAGAGAACTAAGTCTAAAGGATGCCAGGGACCCATCACAGCAGGTTAATTCCAAGCTTTGGCAAAGGCACAGAGTAAGTAATGAAACATGTTTTTTCCATGATAATCACATTATACCTCCAGATGACAAGTGTGCCAAAAGTCAAGTGCTCAAAACGGGCCAAAACCCGCTGTTCTGCTGGGTGTCTTTACATGCAGTGCATACAATACCATCTGATGTATTGTTTTCTCTTGATAAAATAATCAAAATATACTTATTAGGAATACTACTCATAAGAATTTCTTTTACTGGTTTAATGACAGAAAAGCATAATTAATTGACAGCAAGATACCTGCAGATAAATTCCAAAACATGCTAAACAGGCATGCTTTAAAATCAGACTTATCAGACCCTCTTGCCTAGCTGCAGGATGGAAGAAATGGGAAGTGGCCTCCCTCCCCAGCATTATGAGAATATCCCAGCTTGTACCTTGGAGTGTCTGGCTGCACACAGACACTGCTGGAGACACCTGGCTATTAGCCTTCCACACGCTGCTTCAACAGCCACTCATCCCTGCTGAAGCCCAGCAAAAGAATTCAGTAGACAAGACAGAACCAACCCAATAGCTCCTACTTATGCGCCCCACTTCAAACATCACTAAAACTATGTTAAAAAACCTAATTCGGGAAATGCTACCACAAATTAGGTCTTCAAGTCTTTAGCTTACTTCCTAACTATTTGTTTTATCTGTTATTAGCTATGCTCAGCAGACAAACTTGCTGACCTGGCAGAATGCCTGCCTAGCCAAGCCATTTCTCACAATCTTCAGAGCAGCCAAGAGCAGAGCCCTAAGGATACAGCTCGTAGGCAAGAAATCACAGTGCTTTCCACAGATGCTCAATACATGACTATGGATGGTGAGGATAGAGCATGTACTCGGGTCTCAGAGGAACTGAAGAACACCACAGTAAAGACTCCACAGGCTGGCTTCCTTCTGTAGCTGATGATTCAAATTAGCCGGCCAGCACAGCCTTTTGCTGCTCATATGACTGACAGAGCTCTATGCTTGGAAACAACACTCTGCCAAGTCATGCATTCCTCAAGACAAACAGGAGGATATTTTATATACCCCAGCACATGACAGATTTGCACGTTAAGTGAGCAGTTCTGTAGTTTTAGAGGCATTTCAAACTCAAGACCTGAAACGTACATCTTCAACAGAGAAGCCCATGGATAATGCAGCCACATCTGGGATCCGCTCGCCAGGAATGGGCCAACTCCCATCTCGAAAAACAACTGACTGAGGGGATCGTAAGACGCTAAATTCATCACCGCATACACCTAAAAACAAACAAAAGAAACCTGTCAGTTCTTACCACCTTTCCCTTACATCACAGAAAAAGAGTGTATTAGAGCTCAATAAGATTCCTTATTCCTCACTCTCACACCTATCAGTTTATGTAACACAAGTAATGATAACCGACTGATTTAATGCTCTGGAATACAAAGTAAGGTTTCTATGCAGCAATGACTAAGGGTGGAAAAACCCACATTAACAAAAGCAGGACAATTATTCAAGCAACAGCACAGTACCCTTCTCCGTACTCACCAGCAGGCTGCGAGTGCTGCAGTTCAGACCTGGTAAAGCCAACTCTCAGCAGAGCCAGGCAGACTCCAAAATCCTGTTAGCTCACAAGCAGCCACGCACCAGCACAGCACTGTCTGCTTCCCAGGCTGCTTGGCATAGCACGTCTTTTCATGCAGACAACAGCCTGAGCCACTGAACCCAGAGCCAGGAGGATCAGCAGAGTCAGTGCTGGCTCAAACAGAACACTGCCAGGAACAATCTGGTTTCTGCAGAACAGCTCCGGTGTCTCTGCTCTGCCTTCTCAACCACATGACACTGTGAGATGTTCTTCTTCCTCTGATGCAGTACCAGACCTAAGCTGATTGTGTGAAGCCACAGTCTGCAACACTTCTCATGCTGGGGTTTCACCTACTTGCGATGCCCCCCTCCCTCCCTTCCCCATTACCTTCCATAGCAACGTTGACTAAAAGCATTCTTTCTAACCTGAATGACAATGACAGTAATTTATTGTGTCATGAAGCCGGAGAGGACGCCATGAAATAAGAAACAGCCTTATTTCAGTCTGACTTCCTAATTTAAAGTCACTTAAGCACAACTGTGCAACTTTAAAACACATTTGGTGTATGTAAGCAGCTCACACGCACCATGTAAAACTTCACACGTATCCCCCACAACGAGCAACCTGTGTATGTGTCTGCCAAGAAAACTGATATGACAAAAGACTCGAGAAAATCAAGTAGGATAACAACACATATTCACAGGCCACATAAGTTTAAGTTCTAAATACATAATCAGTCTGACTACATACTCCAAAGTTACGTGAATAAGCCTTCAAAAAAAAAAAAAAAGACTTATTTACTCATATGATCTCTGAAAATTAGTTACCAATCCAAGCAGCTATACCAAATAGCATCTGCAACTCTAAAGACTATTTACAAAAATAACGCAATAGGAAACTGATGTGTTGTGCAGTTATAATCTTCCCTGACATTAATTTAGCCAATCTGACCTTGAAGATGCTGGTTTAAAGCCTGAATCATATTCATGCATACAAATGTTGACAGTAAATCTGAGCTGTATTATGATAAACACACTAAAGGAACAAAGTACTGTGATGCAGGTTGGGGAAGGAAGGAAACAGGCCAAACCAAAAGATGGATATGGAGCAGATTCAAGCATCATTTGTTTTAAACTGATACGTTTATGATAATTAAAATGGATGGACTCCTATCAATTGTAATGGTGTACCAACCAGTATTTGGAAGAACAGAAGCGTTTCCAGACCGATTTGCTTAGGAAGGAACTTACAAGATTGCTACGAACATTTTTGCTCACTCTGTAGGATTTAATGCGTTGCTTTAACTTTCCACAAGGCTGTAAGACAGTCACACACATCCCTTAGGACAAGTTGGCTTACTTGGGGCGAAGTTGCTTAGGTGGATAAAATTAGAGTATTACCCTTTTTAACTAAACTTGCCTGGCTAGGCTTTTCCAAGGTCTCAATGAGTCAAACTGAATTTGAGCTTGGAGCACAAGCCTTTTCCTCAGTCACGCTACAACTGCTTAACGGCTGTACCCCATTGGGACACGTATTCAGTGAAGTCTAGAGAGTAAACTCGAGATGCAACTCACCCTGCACACTGTTACCCACCCACCCACCTCCAGAACACTCAACCGAACTCCCACCTTCTCCTAAGGAAGCTGCACCCTTAGGGGAACTGTGGCTCCCAAGCGCCTCTGCGAACCTGGACTGAAGAACCGAAGTGCATTGAGGGGAAACTATTTGTGAGGCCTGGAAGCCCGAGGTGC